TGCTACGGAAGTTATCAACCTCTTTTTAATTCCATGAAAAATGTAAATTTTGAAGAAGGATTACCATCTAACCTGCAGACTCTTCCAAAATGCTTTAATTATCATAGACGATTTAATGTCTGAATTAGCAAGTGATACTCGCTTAAGCAAACTTTTTACAAAAGGAAGTCATCACCGAAACCTTTCAGTCGTTTTTATAACACAAAATCTTTTTCACCAAGGCAAGGAGATGAGAAATATTCATTTAAATTCCCATTACCTTGTCCTATACAAAAATCCTAGAGATAAAAGTCAAATCATGCATTTAGCTAGACAAATGTTCCCCGGAAAAGTAAAGGCCTTTCAAGAAATTTTTCAGGATGCTACTTCAACTCCATTTAGCTACTTGCTGATTGATTTACGACCTGAAACAAGTGAAACGCTTCGCCTTCGTACAGGCATCTTTCCTGGGGATAAATACTATGTCTACCAGCCCCGATAGTTCATTTCAGTTTGAGACGTCGAATGGCTAACATGTCTTCTCCCATCGTGATCGATTTCGAAGGTTTTCAGTGGATGCCTCATTGTTACATTGTTAAAGAATTAGCTTTTTACTCCGTGCATGAAGGATATCACAGTTGCTGGTCATTTTTACCCCCTCAGCCTTGGAAAACATTATCACGATCTCAGCAAAAGTGTTTTGCTTGGGTCACAAGAAATCGTCATCATGTGAATTGGAGTGAGGGTGTTTTACCTTATACTCATCTTCGTATTATTTTGCAATATTTGTCATCTATTTATTCTGTCATATACGTGAAAGGATTAGAAAAGAAATTATTTTTAGAAAATTTATTATGTAGAGACATCATAAATCTAGACTGTCCTAAGATAGAGAATTTAAAAAAGAAAAGTTCTTTAACATGTTCGATTCATGCAAAAGGATTTAATTGCTGTGCTTTAAACAAAGCGGCTGCATTTGCTACCTATATAAAAGAAAGTATGCAAGAAAAAGAGCTCATTTGTCATCAGAATGTCTCATCTGAAGGATGTGGATTATCTAAAACTATTAGGAAAAAGTCGAATAAAAGCAGCTGTACTGAAAAAGTGTCCGAATCATCTCATCAAATCAGTTTGTGAGTGTGTTTTAAATCTTCTAAAAGGAAACGTACCCATCACCAAACGCGTCAAAAATCGACTCGCCCCTTTTAGAACTTTAAGAAAACTAGCGGACAAAAAAGTACCTCTTTTTAAGAAAAGACGTCTTTTGGTTCAAAAAGGTGACGGTTTTCTATCTTTCCTGATTCCTGCAGCAGTCAGTGTCTTATCCTCTCTTCTCCATGGAACACAGTAAGAAATTTGCCTTGGTACCGCTGGATCGTATGCACCAGTTTGAAGATGAACATTTGAGTGATTTAGATACCCAAATTCAAAACATCTTAAAAAAGAAAATGGACGATGAAGAAAAATCCAAATTGTACATCCAGGTTCTGCAAAAGTATGTTACGTTTCCTCATGTGAATGCGTCTGAACAATTTTCTGAGACAGATGTAGAAAAGCAAATTTTGCAGACTGTTCCTGTGAAACAGAAAAGAACGGCACAGAAAATAATGGATTTCCTAAAAGAACATCAGATTTCCTGGACACACAATAAAGAATTGATTCTGGACGGTCATGTGTTTTCTGGGTCCAACATTGTTCAACTAATAAACTTTCTGTTGAGAAATAGAACTGAAAGACCTTTGAACAGTTTAAAAATGTACTGAATGTGAATAACTTTCCTCAAGACTGTGAAAAACAAACATTTAATGATTGTAAAAACGATGTATGCTAGACCTAAAAGAAAATCCTCTTCGAAACTATGGCTGAAATTGTAATGAAACGTCCATAATAAAAGTTAATTTCTGATTATTTGTGTTATGTTTTTCTTTGACGAAGTTAATATATAAAATCATTTTTTCTGATTAAACTAATATATACATAATCATAACCATTATTTTCTAAAAAAAAATATTTAAAAAAACTTACCTTTCATGAAATCTTTTCCAAAGGAAAAAAGAAAAAAAACACCATTATTTATCATTCAAACTTCTATTTTATTTTACGTTCTAAATTTTTTACACGATACTGGATGATCATAATGTATATTTTACATACAAACATTTTTTTGTACAAGCCTATTATAATATAGTTCATAAGTCTTCTTTTAAAATCCAAATGGTAAGGTGCTCAAGTCTTTTGAATCACTCCGTTTGTCGAGCCAACACAATTTTGTACAGTTTTGTTTCGGTTTATTCATGACCTTTTCTTTTTGGTTTCTCGGGTGATTTTGGAGGGGTTGTGGAGAGAGATGACATCCTTTTGGTCCAGACTACATACCAGACTTTTGATGGCTTCAAAATTCAGCAACTGGGAATTTCGGAAAGTTCAACGAAAATCCTCTGACTTTGCAACAAGGTTTTCCCAGTGGGCCGTCTGGTACGCATAGTTTTTCGGACCTCCTGAAAAAAAAAATAAAACATGGTGAGAAAAAAGACATAACAGAAAAACTTTCAAATTTTTTTGGTACATATTAAATAAAGAAATTTTTTAAAGGTCCTTACCAGAGACAAAGGTTTTGATGACATCACCCTCCAGTTCATCCGTAAATTCACCCAAGGAAGTTGCCCAAGGGGGGATCATTGCGGCCATTCGAGGCATAGATGATGGAGTCTGTGTCGTGATACAGGACATCTCTACCCAACTTCTCCATTTCACTATACAGCTTGAGACGAGCCCAAGCTGTTGTGAAGGTCGCTAGGAAAATGTTGGTCGAGGCATCCTGCGGCACAAACTCCTTCGCAGATTCCCAGGAAATGGCAGCCACCTCAGGCGTGGGAAGAAAGACATCTTTGATCTGAAAAAATAGAAGAGTCATGAGTAACAGTTCAAAATAGTCATAAGTTAACAGTTTGAAAAAACATTGAGTTTACAGATGAATAAAATCGATAAGGAAAACTTACTTTTTTAGTAGAATCCGCCAACATCTTATTGAAGTCTGGCACCGTGTGGACATAGGTCAGTTGGGCTTTGTTCACGTTCATACCCCATCTGAGTGAAAAAAAGCTATCATAAATCACAACGAATTAAAAATATTTATAAAAATTTAAGTACAAAAGAAATCATCTTACCTGCCCCAGAAACTGTTCAGGGCCAACTTGGCGAACTTGTCGACGCCCAGGGTTTTTCGATATTTTTTGGCCTCCAACTTGACGCCCTCTCTTTCTTCATACTGGCGAATGTACTTCAGTCTGGCTTCTTCCGTCACACACTCCGAAGGCCATCCGCTACTTTCCTGCTTGATCTTCAGAAACAGATCAATGTAGGAACGAAACAGAGAAGTAGACGATGCCTGGAAATGGTACACTTCGTAAATCTAGAAAATAAAAAAATAAATGTCAGTTATAAAAAATTTTTAAAAGTAACCTCTGAAACTAAATAAAGATTAAAATAATCTTTGAGTACTTACATGTGTGATGCGGTAGCCTTTCTTTTCGCCAGTTTGACTTCCTCCGTTACCCACGTTCCGACAAGAGCTCGCTCGTCGTCTGTGTGGGTACACGGAGTCTGCAGTTGAAGAAGGGCGCAAGTCCGACACAGGGGGAACATCAGCTTCTTCCGGCACCGATAGGGCAGTACCGGAAGATACAGATTCCGTGGAGGAATCACTCGGCATTGGATAATTCCAAAATAATCTTCCACATCTCCAAAGCTTTCCGTGATGATTGTTGGATGTCCTACAGGGTAGACGCAATATTTGTTCACCTGTGAAATCAAACAAAAAGTCAAAAAAACATAAAAATAAAAAAACACATCATAAAAATATACAGAAAATTTAGAAAAGTTTAAGTAAACATTTTTGAAATAATAAAAAGTACGAACCCATGGATAGAGTGAGGTAAAATCCACATATTTTGCGTCTCCCTCGTGGAACAATTTGAGGGCATTGGTCCTTCCTCCAAAAAACGACTCGCGAGGATTGAGTCGATCCCTCAGATGGTGTTGATCCAGGAAAGCTTGGAGATCTGGATTTTCCTCCTTCTCTCTTTGAAATTCATGCTCCCACATTTCGATGACGTGGAAACCCTGGGTGCGAAGCTTTCTTGTCGTCTCTTCTGTCTTTTCTCTTAACGTTGCCATGGAAACCCCTTTTAGTGGATGTATGATATCACCATCGTAGCACGAACTACATCCGTGAAAGAAAACAGCCCTAAAATAATACAAATATATATATTAATAGTCTTTAACATGTAAAATCATTAAAAAGAATCACATAGAAAAGGAATGGTTATATTTTCTTACCTGAAACTGATAGACGGTTTGTGTTTCTTGGCAGAATCCGTCTACCGAGATTCCGGCGACTCTGTGCTTTCCAACAAAACACATCCAACCATCGGCAACAAAGTCCAACCATCGGATCAAATCAGGGCTGTAATTCGTTGAGTTGATGTAGCCGTGTGTAGGCACCATGGCAATCGTGTCGGGTTGAATGTGGCCACTCCGATACGTTGCCATACAGGCTGACGCGATGGTCACGTATCTGAAAAGACAAAAATAAGAACGATTTAATGAACTGTAAATATGATTATTATTGTATAAAGAAAATGAGAAAATGACTTACTGGAATGGATCCACATTCGCCACATCCAAAAACTGGGCTCGAAACTCCAGGCAGCAACGGCGAAGAATGTCCACGTCCGATCTATTAAAAGAAAAAAAATGTTAAAAATACGAAATAGAAAAAAATAAATAAATAAAATAAAATAAAATAAAAAAGGAGGGAAAAAATATACCTGCAATAGGCCAGCATCTCATCTTGAAAGTTAAACACATCCCCCTTGTGTGCTTCATGCCAGGACAGAAATGCTTGTCGGGCTGAAGTGCTCATGGTATCCGGGCTGTAGTACCGGGGCTCAGGCAGCGGTCCGACATAATCTTTGGTTTTCTCGCGGAGTTGAAAAGATGGGGGAAAGTATCCCTTTTTCAATTCTCGCTGAGACCGAAGCATCCCGGCAGTTTGGCCAACGCCATCGGTAGAAAAATTTAACGAGTCTATGACCCGAATGTTCAGACTAGGGTGTCTTACAACTCATGATCATAGACCCGTTAGGGATCACCTCCGGCGCTGTGCCTTGCTCCAGGAGCCAGGCCATCACGAACTGACCGTCGAACCTGTAAGTAAAAAAAAATTATGAATAATATTGAAAAAAATAGTCATGCTTAAAGAATGCAAACTATGGTGTTTTTAACTTACCCTTTCATGTTATGAGCCAAGGCGGTGTAGCCCTTGTGCTCTGTGGAGAACAGCCAGGCGCAGAAATCTTGGTATGCCATGTATCCCGGAAACACTTTTTCTGTGCCGTCGGCATACTGAGCCACCGCGAAATTTACGAGGTGTTCCCCCGAAGACTGGTCCGTTTCAAAGTCAAAGAAAATGAACTTGTCATCGGACTTCTTCGGAGCAATACGACGTAAATAGCAACGGTGCTCAGCAGCCACGACAAACTGGCCGCAAGACGACATTTGGTGGTACCGCACTTATGCAGATCTTTAGGGCACTTACGGCGTTCAATCACTTGGCAGCAGTCCCTGCACTGGTATACCTGTAACGACAATTAATTTTTTTAACATAACAATTTTGAGAAAATTATTTGATAAATAACTTTGTTCATTAAGATATATTTAATTAAGATCGCAAAGTGAAAACTCTTGGTTTCCAGTGAGGGCTTTGTGTGCTGCGCAACAGGCATCGGATCGGTAGAGACGGTCGCAAGCCTGACATCGTTGGGGCTGGCCCGGAAAGCAGTCGGTCCTCAAGCATATGGGACACGCATTGGCGATTCGATGTTCTTCAACGCGCTGGTAGGTCTTCAGTAATGGTTGCTGCCGAAAAACCCTTTGAGGGACTTGATCACGTCATATTGTCCATCTTGAAGCCATAAATTGATTCGTTGTGTCCTCTTTCTTCCTTTATAGACCACCTAAACACAGACAAAAATTTTCTCTTAAATTCGAAAAATCAAACCCTTTTAGATATTTTTTTTTCACATCGAAACGAATTACATTCTTAATCATCTAAAAATTACTTGTGCATTGAGCATCTAAACTAATTAGATGCCTAATCATCTAAAAATTCCTTATGCATTTAACATAGAAACGAATTGCATATAAAAATAATCTAAACAAGTTAATGTAACCTAAAAGTAAAAATTTTCACAAGTGATATTTTTAACATCTAAACAGAAAAACTTTTCCCTAAATCGAATAATCTAAAACTTTCGATTTTATACACCCTAAATTTTGAATATCTAAACAAATTTCCTACATGCTGCATTTTATGCGTGAATATGCATAAATATAATCTTAAAAGTTAAAGTAGTCCAAAAATTAACTAGGCATATTTATAAGGCATATTTTTTAACGAACTATTAATGTTTCGAATATTTAAACGAAGCAAACTACTTTAAAATAAGTTCCAAATTCTATTATTGAATAACCTAACAAATTTAAATTTTTACCCATTCACATCGAAACGAATTGTATACATACATAAAGTCACCATGCATTAAATGCTTAACATGAAAGTTTAACGAAATGTCATAAACTATAACGCTAGTCATCTCAATTTTTCAGTCCGTTAAGAACTATTTTGAAATTATTTATGTACCAAAAAAAATTTTTATCATAAATAGAAAATAACTAAAATCAAGTTACAATTTTCAAAAAGGCCCTAAAAATGTAAAATCTCGTTTATAAACATAAAAAACAAATTTGAAGACAGAAATATTTTAATTGAGACAGAAATAATGACTTACCCGGTTCAAATTTTCCGATGAAAAGACTGCAATTTGAGTATCCAGGTGATCTTCAAATATGGCGATCTCCGCAAACGTGCAAGGACCTAGGGGCACATTTGCATCTAAATGAAGTTGCCTTGCACGGTTCATCAGTGTTGGCCGACGATGATTTCTCAAGGCATTGATGGCGCTCGAATCCTTTTTCAAATGTGCTAAGGCATAAACAATTGCCTTAGCACAGCACAGTCCTTCCTCATTGTATGGAATAGCCAAAATGGACCTTTTACTGAGCCTATCCACGGAAATAATGATGACTTTCCTGTTTCGTCCGACACTCACAGGTCGTCTGATGGTGATGACATCCACGGAGAACCCTGTGTCTAGTTCAATCTTGTCTTTGGACTGCAACACTTTCATCACAGCAGCCAAAATTTTTTCAACCGTTAGGGTTGAAACTGTCATAAGAGATGTGCTGATGGGTTTGTCCAACCCTTCTGCCTGGATGCAAAACCGTATAAGATCTGAGGGACCCAAATCGGCTGTTGTCCGGCGAATAAGCTGTTCAAACAATTCCCGGACGGTGTCCGGAATTCGCACCATCGGGACGCCTTATACGTCCTGAGGCAGCCGTTCCATATCTATACTAGCTCGGAAGGAAATTTCCTCGGCCTGATATTTATGGTTCCGTCGACGAGATTTTTCAGTGAGAACAATCGCCTCATCGATCTGAAAAGTAAAAAGAAAAATAAGTTATATGAAAAATAAAAAGAAAAATAAGTTTTCGGTAAGTGGTGTGGTGTATTTAATTACGGCAAAGCACACTAGGGCTAAAGGGGAGGGATGCCTTTCGTGGAGGACTTTCTAAGGGAAACTGGCTCGTATACACGTTACACATGGGGAAAACCACGAAAACACCCATGCAGCCAGCCCGCTCGCGGGATTCGAACCTCGGACTGAACTACCAGTGTTAAGCGACTTTACCGCTCGGCCGCTAGTTTTCGGTAAGAATCAAACATTTTCAAAAAAGACATTCACGTATAAAGAAAATACACACCGAACGTTCATCAGAACCTGCCATATACACAGGACCACGAGCTGATGAAGAAGACGTCTAAAAATAAATAAATAAAAGTAAATACATTCATTTTTAGTACTAAGAAAAAAATATTCTAACAGATTCATAACGAAACGAAAATTTACCTCAAATCCAGAACCCACTTGGTAATACAAGGGCTGAACCAGAGGATTTTCCATGAATATTTGATCAACTTCATCGATTAACTATCAAAATAAAAGTAAATACATTCAAAATACCTTCAGATAGAAATAAAATAGGCTACGAAAATACGTGTAAAAACTTACATCATCATCTGAATCGCGGAAAGGAAAAATACCTGGCAATTAAAAAATTAGAATAAATAACATATTCAAAAAATTTCGTTTTCAAAAGTAGTAATCTTAAAATAAGGTATAAGGAAAATGTACTTACATTAGATGCAGATCGTTTAGCAGACATCGTGTAGATAAAATGAAAATGGCGCAGATAAATCACAGAAATTCAAAAGTAACATTCACTCAGCAAAAACCAGAGTATAAATGATTGCATTCGTCAAAGTGAGCGAATATATAGACGACGTATAAGAAAGAAAAACGCTGATTGGCTGAAATAAGATAAATATTGTTAGCGAGAATCTGATTGGTCGTTAAGATTGTATTCGTTCGCTGTCGCGGAAGCACAAAGTGTGAAGCGGTTTCCACAAGCTGGGACTTGAAAAGAAATGACGTTTGCGTGTTCCCCCCAGCCTAGTGAAGTCATGGTGCAAAATGTGAAATGCACAAAGAGGGCAACATTCAAAAGCTAAAGCATAGCCTTGAGGTAACGTGCTTTTCTCCCATGCAAAAGGTAGCGGGTTCCAATCCCGCTCGTGGAGTTATTTTTAAAATTCAGAGAAAATAATATTAAATTGAATAAAAATTAATTAAATGTAATTAAAATAATGACAAATTAAATAATTAAAATACTTATTAAAAAGAGTAAATAATTAATATAATAAAGTGTTAAATAGTTAAAAAACGTAAATAATTAAAAATAATAAATTAAAAGTGATGTGATTCCAAACACGTGGTTCATGAAATCGTTCCCACAAAAAATAAAAGCTTTGAAAAGATCGTTGCCACACCATAAAAACGAAACTCAACACGATTACGTCATCCCATCCATCTACGTCACTTCCGGTTATCACGTGATCCAAGATGGCGCTGGTGTCGTCACTTCCGGGGAAATCCAAGATGGCGGAGGCCACGCCCCCGTTGCGTCACCCATTGTTCCATTACGTCATGGCGGCATCCTTTGGGCTCACGAGGACCGTGGGTTACTACTGTGGAAGCTAGACGACTTGAATATTTCATCTAGCTTCTTCATTTAATGACTTGATGTATTTTTTGTTCCTCCAAAATATTTTAACGACAAATTTATTCATTCATTTACAATGTTTATCAGATAATATCAAATCAATATTGTTCTGGTTCAGAAATATCAAATCAATAATAATCTGGTGTATCAAATATATCTGGTGTTATCAAAGGTTTTATTATTCTTAGGATTTTTTATATGTACTATAATTTTCTTAGTAAAAGTGCTGTATGCAAACAATTACATACTGGCAATGAAAATTTTGAGATAGTGCCAGTGTTGACAGGGAAGATGTTTTTGGTTTCACAAAAAAGCAGCAAATATTTGGTAGAATAATGTCTAATAAGCAATTTTTTGTCACAAGTAAAAAAAAATCATTAAATCATTTTAAAAGCACTGATGAGGTATCCAATATGCATATATTTTCGATGAGGCTTATATTCACAGGCATCAACACTGCATAGAATCGACACCAATTCTAGTTACTAACATATAAGCAACACGATAAAATGAAATGATTTTAGAAATACATATGTCTGATAACTTTCAATTGGGTTTTGAAACTTATTAAGCTAAATGATAATAACCTACTTAATATGAAAAAATAAATATTCTACAATATAAAAAGTATAAAATTATTGAGGTGTTTTAATTAATTAATTAAATTATAATGACATAATAATAGGTAAGAGAATTAATGCATATTTTCCCCAGGAATACAACTAATATAGAATATATTTGAGATTATAAATATGGTTGCATCTTTAAATAACTATGCAAAATTGCAACTAAAAGGCTGTGTATTCATGTATTATTCTTATTCTACTAAATAAAAGCGTGTTATAAATAAAATAGGAATACATAAACAATCTAATAAATTACTGAACTGATCCAAATCCACTGTCCTTGCCTTTATTTGCTAACCTGTATATCTGTATACACATGTCTGTGCATGCTGTTTTATTTACTCCAAAGTTATTTAGTTATATGCAATCCTATTTTGAATAATGGCTGAGAAATAAAATTACCTAAAAGTCTCTCCCCTATCAATATTTATCACTGAACAAATACTTGGGTGTTTTACATTACAGAACAACATAAGCCAAAACATTTTCTCAAAAAATATATATATGCCTGTTTGATACTTCAAGTGAGAAAAAATACTTTCATCATTAGCTAATTTTCACAATGGAGAAATTTTGTAAACTACTTTAAAAACATTTTATTACTAATATTTACTTCGAAACGAACACTGCTATAACAGATAAGAAAAAAAACATTTAACTGTGTTCAGGAAGTAACAATGCTATGTATATCGTTCTATATAAAATTGTTTGGTGCATGCTATTCTGTAGTGGAAAAGATTGGATATCTGTAATATTTTTATACTATTATTCATACCAGATAACCATAGCTATTTTCTGAACTTGTAATTTTTTATGCTAAGTATCCTAAACCACTGAAAACAGTTCTAAACAGTTTAAGAGGAAATGATTCACACATAGAAATTTCAACATTACTAGACTATGAACTTCAAAGTTCATCATTTAACGTTAAAACGCGTAACTTTTATTTTTATATGTGTCATGCTATAAATTTTCATTTAAATCATTGCTAACATGAACTAAAACAGAATTTTAATTTCTGCAGGTAAAATTAAATATATACATACATATACAATTAGGCTCAATTGAAAACCTAATTGTATATGTATGTGTATTAATAATATTTAAGAGATCAATGAGCTATAATGATTTATACTTCAATACACAAATAAGCATGTTTACTTTCGAAGAAATACATACACATTTATATATATATATATATATATAATATACGGGAAAGAAATTTTGCATATATAAAGAAAACTTTTCTTACGAGAAAAAATGTACTCAATCTTTTTTTTAAATGCTTAGAACGCACTTTCATTTTAATGTCCAACTTTCTTTCCAATTCGAAGTACGCGAATCCCCTCCTTTTGTTCGTTTTGCTATCTTTTTCGATATTTTTCGAACCAAGAATGCGATGGAAGCATAACTCAGGTTCCTTGCAGGCTCGTGAATTACACTGGGGTACACAAAAAACGTGTGGTCTGTACTTCTTTCTAAATTATACATAATGCCCACAACAATAAGAAAAAGTTTAATTTCTTTTCGATCACAACACGCTTCACAAACTACTTAGTATTGTTAAACGTAAATACCGATTTTTAATGTTTCCACCTTTTAGCTACTAGATGGCGCATCAGAGCGTTGGAATCGCGGATGGTTTGACCCTCCGTGCAGTGCCAAGAAGTTAGGAACTGCAGTCTGTCTGAATATGAACACAACGAGAGCATTTCGCATTTATTACGAAGCTCTCCAACATATTAATGTTGTACAAAAAGATCTTATCTAAAGGCTTAAATAACAATAAAGGTAATATAATGCTATCAATAACAGGAAATATAATTTTTATTAGGATTTTAGAAATACATATGTCTGATAACTTTCAATTGGGTTTTGAAACTTATTAAGCTAAATGATAATAACCTACTTAATATGAAAAAATAAATATTCTACAATATAAAAAGTATAAAATTATTGAGGTGTTTTAATTAATTAAAATCCTTTGTTTACTAAGAAAATAAATTACACAAGTTTACCCAGTATTCTGCATACTACATACGTAAAGATCTAAAAGGCAATTTTACTGTTACTAGCGTTTGTAAAGTATTTGAGTTCATCTCTTATTTAAATTTAGTTAGTTTGTAGTTCTTATTTTTACGTTCAGACCACAAGTAGTGGTCTCTGTATCCCGAAGTGCTGGAAGGGCTGTAAACTGTGAAGAATAAAGGGTAATTAAACCTTGCCCTTCTTTGTCATATCTTCTAAATTTCAAAGTACATAGTTTAAAGTAAACTCAGTGTTCCACTCAGGACACCCATATGTTCGCCAAACAGATTAGAAGAAATAGTAGTCCTGATATATTCTCATAAAATTATATTAACGTAACCTTCTCATTTGTGGTGTCAAAAATCAAGATCTGAAAGAGATTAAAATGTAACACCTATTGACTGTTTTTATAAACTGTATTAATCTATCACATGGGAAAGTTGCAATATTTTCACATGATACTCCTAAAACAGCATAATAATATACTAGTAAAGTAAAATGGAGAAAAGAATACTCTATTTTCAAACAATTTCATAACAAAATATTTTCATAAGAAGAAACAGTGTATTTTAAATCAATAGGTAAAAAATTTCAAGCTGCTTTTGGTCCATCAGTAAATGCATTAACATAACTATTGCAGTTTTGTCTGTGCTCAAGAAAAAGTTGCCTACACACCAACTTATTAGTATCTCTTTTGCCGAGATGTGAGAAAATTAAGAAGGCGAAACTCAACATTCTCCCAAGGTGGTATTCCAAAATGCTTCATTGTCTGAGTGCTCAATTGTGCCATCTGATATTCTTGAATTAGTGAGCGAACCCTCAAAGAGGAATAAGGAACGCAAGAAAGTCGAGCTTTAAGCAGACGCTTACACATATCATCTAACAGAACCAGCTTACAGAGATGATCAGATTGTGTTAATATTTTAAAATAATAGCAAAGAGAGAACCGCTCACGCCTTAACTTGAGTGAAAGTTTATTACAGTCAACATATAGGTTTTGAAAGCTGCAGAAGAAATCCGCAATGCCTGATGGTGAACAGGATCTAGTCTCAATAGCACAGAAGGCCGTGCTTAACCATAGACAACTGAGCCGTAGTCCAATCTAGAGAGGATAAGTGCTCAGTAAATACTGAGTTTTGAGCCACATTCTGTACCCCAGGTGATATTTGACAGTACCTTTAAAATACTTAAAATTTCAAAATACTTCTTTCTCAACTATTGAACATGTAGAGTTGCGCACCTCCAACTTGCAGGCAACCAAGACGTGACTGTTGAAAACTGGAAAATAGACAGAGTCTTCTTGCTAAGGGTTTAAGTCCCTTTTTATTCAACTTAAGAAGTTACAATTGCGTGCTCTTGACGCTCACAAACTACGCCGACCCGGCGGTAAAATAAAAATAAGAACCTGAAAAGAAATAATAACAAGACTCTAACTACGAGGCTCTCTAAAAGTAACTAACCTCACCGCGTTTTACAATACCGCTGCTAATTCAGCAAACTTTGAATATCACGTTGAACGATTAACAATT